AGGGTTAAAATGTCTTTGTTTGTGGCCCCCCGTCTGGAAACTCCCCCCCCCCCCTCCCCAGTTGGAGATCATGTTGGAGGCCAAAGTGTGGCGAGAAGCAGCCACTCAGGTCTTCTTCGCCCTGGGCCTGGGCTTCGGCGGCGTCATCGCCTTCTCCAGTTACAACAAACGGGACAACAACTGTCACTTTGACGCCGTCCTGGTTTCCTTCATCAACTTCTTCACCTCAGTTCTGGCCACGCTGGTGGTGTTCGCTGTGCTGGGCTTCAAGGCCAACATCATGATCGACAAGTGTGTCCTACAGTGAGTACCGGCACAAACACGGGGGGCGGGGGGTGAGGGGGACCAGTCAGGACTAGTCAGGCCGGGTTAGCTGGTTAGCTGGTTAGCTGGTTAGCTTCATTCATCTCTTTATCTCAGGAACACTGGGAAGATTGTGGCTCTGCTGGTCAACGGCACTCTGGAGCCGAGTCTGATCCCTCACCACATCAACCTGACTCAGGCGGGTCAGGTCACCGTGGACGACTACCACAAGATGGTGGAAATCATCAGAGGGGTGAAGGAGGACGAGTACCAGGCTCTGGGACTGGATCACTGCAGCATCGAGAACGAGCTCAACAAGGTAAGAACCAGAGCAGCGGTACACCTCAACACCTCAACACCTCAACACCTCAACACCATCAAACACTTCATTCAACAACAACATGATCACTAACTCACTCCAGTGTGACGTCTGTGGACGTCAGCTCGTCTGCAGGCCTCGACCCAGGCCTGCTCTACTTCCTGGTTCCTTCTGATTGGCACTTTGGCCAAGAACTTTATTTTGAACGTTTTTGAGCCAAAGACAGAACAATTCTGTTGGAGGCGTCAAAAATCAGTTTCTACCAGTCACAGCCGTTAGTTCTGTCGTTGTCTCGTTGTCACAGTTTAAACACAGTCTCCTTTAGCCGTTACCTCTGTCGTTGTCCCAGTTTCAACACAGTCTCCTTTAGCCGTTACCTCTGTCGTTGTCCCAGTTTCAACACAGTCTCCGTTAGCCGTGAGCTCTGTCGTTGTCTCAGTTTCAACACAGTCTCCGTTAGCCGTGAGCTCTGTCGTTGTCCCAGTTTAAACACAGTCTCCTTTAGCCGTTAGCTCTGTCGTTGTCACAGTTTCTCTCCATGATTGTTTTTACCAACCCTGGTTTTGAGGTTTTTCCTCCTCCTGACCGCGGTGTTCTCCTCACTGACAGGCCGTCCAGGGCACAGGACTGGCCTTCATCGCCTTCACCGAGGCCATGACCCACTTCCCCGCCTCGCCCTTCTGGTCCGTCATGTTCTTCCTCATGTTGGTCAACCTGGGCCTCGGCAGCATGTTTGGAACCATGGAGGGAATTCTCACTCCGCTCATCGACACCTTCAAAGTCCGCAAGGAGTTTCTCACAGGTGAGTCACGAGTCGACGAAGAAGAAAATAATCCAAGAAAAATGACAGATGGAATAAAGTGTTCAGGATGAAGAGCGGGTGATGAAGACTGACTGTAAATTAAGACGGATTGTTAGGATTCAAGATGAAAAGATTTGAGCCGGTGTTTGTCTCCTTGCAGTGGGCTGCTGCCTGTTGACCTTCTCCATCGGCCTGCTGTTCGTCCAGCGCTCAGGGAACTACTTCGTGGCCATGTTTGACGACTACTCTGCGACGCTGCCCCTGCTGGTGGTGGTCATTCTGGAGAACGTGGCCGTCGCCTGGGTCTACGGCATCGACAAGTGAGTGACACCACAACGACAACACGCAGTGACTGCATCAGTGACATCGTGGAGCCGTGGTTTTGGCCACGCCATGTCACAAAGCAGAACAGTTACCCAGGGTTGAGGGTTCGATTTCCATGACTTCTGTATGAGGAAGGATTCCAGGAACTTCAGTTTCAGTTTCTCCCACAGTCGTAAAACGTTAGGATTAGTTTAAACCCCCCCCCCCGCTGTCATCACTGTGTGTTAAGGCTCAGGTTTTTCCCAGTGACCCATGGTGTGACCTTTTGACCCCCCCTCTCAGGTTCTTCGAGGACCTGAAGGACATGCTGGGCTTCACTCCGTTCCGTTTCTACTACTACATGTGGAAGTACGTCACGCCCATCCTGCTGCTGCTGCTGCTGTGCTCCAGCGTGATCCAGCTGTGCGTGACCCCGCCCTCGTACAACGCCTGGATACAGGAGGAGGTGAGTCAGCATCTGTCGGCCCCTCTCCCCCCTCAACACAAACACTCACCCAGATTATCTCCCCCGAGAGACGGAGCAGGGATCAGTGGAGGAGCAGGAAAGAAAATATAAGGGTTTACAGTGGTGGGGGGGGGGACAATGAGAGGGAGGGGTCAGTCTTGACTCCCCCCACAGACAGTCAGCAGCAAGTGTCAATCACCCCACACACACACATAAAACAGCAGGTAGGTCAAAGGTCATGTTTTACACTCTGTAAAAGGATATTTGAACAATTATTATTATAATTATTATTTTAGTTTCTTCTTCAACTGCTTCGACTGAAGAACGATGAATCTGGAACTTTTTTTTTTTAAATGTCTGATTTTCAAACCGACAGCCTGTGAAACTGCGTCTCTTCAGGTTTTGTCGTTAAATCTTTTTGTTTTAACGAACACTTTTCAAATTGCACCAAACATCAAACTTTTGTTTTTCCTAAGACACAGGAAGCGTCGCTGCCGTCGCTCGCTCTTCCTTCACCTGACTTCTTTAACAACCTCCGTGTTTGGTTTCCGTCTCCAGGCCAAGGAGCAGATGGTGCTCTACCCCTTGTGGGGAATCGTGGTGTGCGTCTCCCTGATCCTCATGGCCGTCCTGCCCGTGCCCGTGGTCTTCGCCCTGCGCTACTTCAACGTCATCGACGACAACACCAGCGGCTTGTCCTCCGTGTCCTACAAGAAGGGACACATCATCAAGGAGATCGCTCGCCCCGGTGAGGACGACGACACCAGCCTGATCCAGGGCAGGACCCCCAGCGAGGCGCCCTCACCCGTGCCCGGCAGCATCTTCCGCAAACAGAGCGGCACCGGCGGCCGACCCGAGGCGGACATCGCGCCGAACGGTCGTTACGGTATCGGTTACCTGATGGCAGACGTGCAGGATATGCCTGAGTCAGACTTATAGACTGACCGTAACA